GGAGACCTTTGTGATGAACTGCAGGTCTTTTTACCTATAGAAGATAAGCAAGAATAGACAAATTGTGAAGTCCCATTTTTAGATTACAGAGGGACTGGTTACAGTAAGAGGTGATATTAACTCTCAAATCACAAATATTCAGTTCAAATATTTGTCTTGATCTGTTTTTTTTTTCTGAGTTTAATTTCTTGGTAAAATAATCTATGAATGTGCTGCCATGCAGCCACTATAGAAAGGTGTCCATACCAATAAACATCTGTCTTTCTGAAATAATTTATTTACTGTATTAAAATGTATGGGTATTTTATTTTTATTGTGTTTCTTTCTTTCCTTATGACAATTTACAATGTGTGATCCAATCACAGTATTATTATTTGCATGACAATTTCCTTCTGGTACCCATCTTCTAATGTCAATAGCTCTAATTGTACCATATGTATTAAATTAAGGATTCCCAACAACCTTTAATCATTTCCTTCGATACACAGGAGGTACTCTGCATTATTTTTGCTTCGATAAATGAAGATGGGTGGGTTCTTGATACATACACTTTTATTTCCAAATATTATTAATGAAGTACAAACACATGAGGGCATATTCATAAAACAGAAGAGTTAAAGTAATAATAGCAAACAGTATGCAGGAATATGCAATACCAAACATTGGAACATATTGAGGTAGCACCTGTTTTTCCCTGTCCGCCCACACCTCCCACGTCTCCCCGCTCTGTCAGTCCCTGCAATGGCTTCCAGTTAGTTATAGAGCTCAATTTAAGATTCTGGTGCTTGCTTACAAGTCCCTACATAATGCTGCTCCAACCTACCTATCCTCCCTAATACACAAATATGTCCCGTCGAGGCACCTGCACTCTGCCGAAGACTTATGTCTATCCTCTGTCCATACTCCCACCTCTGATGCTCGCCTCCAAGATTTCTCCACGGCTGCACCTCTTCTGTGGAACGCCCTTCCCTTCTCCGTAAGAATTTCACCCACTCTCCATTACTTCACAAAATCTTTGAAAACACACTTCTTCAGGAAAGCATATAATTTAAACTGTTAGCGGGTTTTCATTCCTCCCGCCCCCTCATGACTCCTCTCCTGCAACTGTCAAAAATAACCTAATACTTTTCTAGCAACCTATTTCATTACCCCTACTTATACCTTTTGTGTCACTATGCCCCACTCCCTCTAGCATGTAAGCTCATTGAGCAGGGCCCTCAACCCCTCTGTTCCTGTGCGTCCATTTGTCTGGTTACAATTACATGTCTGTTAGTCCACCCATTGTACAGCGCTATTTCGTTATATAAATAATAAAATAATAATAATAATAATGAATGATGGTGTCTATCCTCTAAATAGTAAAAGCTAAATCCATCCTTCATGGTAAAATCATTTTATGTTATTAAATACAATGAAATAGCCTAAGTGTAGAATACCGAAACAGCAATACTATTCTTGCTTTTATATTGGTTTTCTTTTTAAACTTCTTTAGTAGAAGATCTTTAGGTAAAATTATCTGACTAATGAGAAGGCCATGCTAGGCTATATTTACTAACACATAGCCTTAAGCTGCCATACTTGAGGTGTGTCTTGTTAGGTCATACCAAAGTTACATTAGTCACAGGCTATAATATACCTGGTGATACTGACACACCAAAGAACTCTGGGAATGATGCCGATTGCTCACACCATTAATGTAGCTTTCAGTTAAACATTGCCAAACAGAAGTATTTACCCTTTTGTCTCTGTAGAAAGAATGTGAATAATGGCAGTTGGTGATTACATGTTACGTTTTAGTTAATGTTATGCTGCGAGTTATTTTTTAAAATGAATAGTGTAAATTACTCTAATTTACTTCCTAGTGCTAACCTTTAGGAACTCCCACTTAAACGTGGCATTTATTTGTTCACTTTATGCGTGATGCTTGTTTGAATCTACGTTCAGACTTTTTTTGAGTTTCTGGTCATTCAAGAAGACCAACTTGTTCTGTCTTTTCAAGATCCCAATGATACAACTAATTTGTAGTGATATTATTCTTAGCCTTATGTTTTAATACATTGCTAGGACACCATCAATTATTATAATTATATATAAGTAGCCAAACTAGAAAAATCAAGTCCGATTCAGATATGGTTTCTGCGTGACCATTTTGACCTAACATTTAAATTCATGGCAATAAACAGTTCAGTGTATAACTGATAATATAATAAAACATAGATCAATACTGCTATTATTGGTTTATTTATACCCTGCCCCTTAATAGCAATGATAATGATTATCAATTAAAGAATAGACAGAGTTTATCAAGCTTGCATTTAACTTTAACAAAGAAACAGAAATAGGAACTTGAATCTAAAGATGGTGAAATAATGCCCGAAAACTTCCTCTCATATCTCTGCTTAGATGTGTAATTAACTAATTCATTTTTTTTGCTCATTATATTTAATATTTTGCATATGTACATCTCTATTCATATAAGGGGATTTTCCTACCAGAATTCCTCATTATTATTTAATTCACGGATACTGCCAGACATCACAAGTCCAAAATTTAAATTCTGGTTCCCCATACATGGTAATTCAGTACATTCCCTAAATCCATGTTTAGCGTCATCCCTTCTTAGCCTTATCAATCTCCATTCCATGTCCTTCTCAGTATACCATTTGCAACTCTCCTTACCCTTGAAGGCACCCATTGTCCTTTTTTGTAGCCCCTGTGCTTATTACCAGTCTTCCTGTTCTTTTTCTTAACACTTTGTCATTTTCGGTAGTTCCTTGTCCTTTTCACCAGCCCCCTGCTCTTTATAGCACCTTGTATGTCTTAGTACAGTATGTCATTCTCAGCAGTACCCCTCTGTTCTCAATATTCTTGCCCTTTAACAGGGTCCTTAATAGCTTCCTTTACAATCTTCAACAGCCCTGGCTTCTGTCATTGACAGCTCACATCTTTCAATCCTAGAAGTCCTTTTTCAGTAAAACCTATTAGTTACTCTTTCAGTGATCAACAGTTACAACTTTTGTCAGCTCGTTTGTTTGTACCCCCCATTTATTATGTATTTGTGCAACCAGATGGATAGATTTAGACATTGGCTGTATATGGAGCTTTCAATAATGTCTATATTTTGTGTTTCTAATGTTTCGTATGCATGTTTTCTTATGAACAAATACATAATTTATATGTTTTAATGTTTCTCTCATTTGCCACAATTGGTGTCTTGAATCTGCTGATATTTATTACACTGCATTATTTCTCTGCTACATAGACTATACTGGGAGCTAATCAGGTCAACTAAGAAAAGCCCAGTGTATTGACTGCTGCTCTTTTTATTTTTCTAGTTTATCTCTCAGCAGAAGCATCAATGGTGGATGGCTGGGGAGGGGGCTATAAACCCAGATTTTTTTGTCCTTCTTCAACTGATCTGCTCTTCCTGCCTGGTCACCTCAGTGAGTCTAGGAATCAGCTGTAGCACAGTGATCGAGATACCCAGCGAGTACAATTAGAATATTAATGTGCAGGGCTGGACTGGGAAAAAAATTCAGCCCGGGCATTTTTTTATCACAGCGGCACACTAAGAAGGGGGCGGGGCAGAGAGGGTGTGTTTTGTCATCACTCATGACAAACACGCCCCCTCTCAAAGTGAGCATGTTGGTTCAATGCTCTTCCAGGGCAGACCATGCACAGAGCTCTGCTGAAGAACTCTAGCATGAGAAAAAAAGCCCTGTATTTGTTCTGCACAGTGCAAGCAAATTTAATAACATGCTTGCACTGTGTTTCCTTGCAACTTGTCTCTGGTGTTTCTATAAATGGATACCAGGAGACAAAAGGGCCAGGAAAGAGTATTGTGCATGTGTTTGGAGCCTGCTTGGGGTATTGCGTGTGTGCAGAGTGAGCTGGTCATGGTGTGGTATTGTGTAATAAGGTCGGTTTTAGTCGTGTTGTGTTTGTGGTGTAATGTAATGCATATGTGGCTAGGGGCTGTAGAGAATGTGTCTATAGGGGATGTAGCAAGTGTGTGTATACAGGCTATAGTGTGTGTGTGTGTGTGTGTATATAGGTGATGTAGTGTTTGTAGAGAGTGTGTGTTCAGGGAATGTAGTATGTGTTTGCTTACAAGGAATCTAGTGTGCATATAGGGGGTCCAGAGTGTGTGTGTGTATATGATCCAGAGTTGGCTAAAGGATCTAGTGTGTGTCTGGAATGTAATGTGTTTAGGGGTGCAGTGTGTGTGTGAGGGGTGTTGTGTGTATGTGTATATATATATATATATATATATAGTTTATATAAATATGTTTGGAAGTATTGTGTATGTGTGTGATGCAGTGTATTGGGGGGTTGTGTGTATGTGAGGGGTTCAGTATGTGTGTGTGAGGTGTGATGTGTGTGAGGGTGCTGTGTGTGTGATGGTGCTGTGTATGATGTGTGTGAGAGTGTTGTGTGTGTGATGTGTGTGAGTGCTGAGTGTGATAGTGCTGTGTATGATGTGTGATGTGTGTGAGAGTGATGTGTGAGAGTGCTGTGTGTGAGTGTTGTATGTTATGTGTGTGAGTGCTGAGTGTGATAGTGCTGTGTATGAGTGTTGAGTGTGATAGTGCTGTGTATGATGTGTGTGAGTGCTGAGTGTGATGTGTGTGAGAGTGATGTGCCTGAGTGCTGAGTGCTGTGTGTGAGAGTGCTGAGTGTGAAAGTGCTGTGTGTGAAAGTGCTATGATGTGTGTGAGAGTGCTGCGATGTGTGAGATTGCTGTGTATGATGTGTGTGAGAGTGCTATGATGTGTGTGAGAGTGCTGCGATGTGTGAGATTGCTGTGTATGATGTGTGTGAGAGTGCTATGATGTGTGTGAGAGTGCTATGATGTGTGTGAGAGTGCTGTGTGTGAGAGTGCTATGATGTGTGTGAGAGTGCTGCGTGTGATGTGTGTGAGAGTGCTATGATGTGTGAGAGTGCTGTGATGTGTGAGAGTGTTGTGTGTGAGAGTGTTGTGTGTGAGAGTGTTGTGTGTGAGAGTGTTGTGTGTTGTGAGTGCTGGGTGTGATAGTGCTGTGTGTGATGTGTGTGAGAGTGCTGCGTGTGATGTGTGTGAGAGTGCTGAGTGTGAAAGTGCTGAGTGTGAAAGTGCTGTGTGTGAGAGTGCTATGATGTGTGTGAGAGTGCTATGATGTGTGTGAGAGTGCTGTGTGTGAAAGTGCTATGATGTGTGTGAAAGTGCTATGATGTGTGTGAGAGTGCTATGATGTGTGTGAGAGTGCTGCGTGTGATGTGTGTGAGAGTGCTGAGTGTGAGAGTGCTATGATGTGTGTGAGAGTGCTGAGTGTGAGAGTGCTGGGTGTGAGAGTGCTGGGTGTGAGAGTGCTATGATGTGTGTGAGAGTGTTGTGTGTGAGAGTGCTGGGTGTGAGAGTGCTATGATGTGTGTGAGAGTGCTGTGTGTGAGAGTGCTGTGTGTGAGAGTGCTGAGTGTGAGAGTGCTGGGTGTGAGAGTCCTGGGTGTGATGTGTGTGAGAGTGTTGTGTGAGTGCTGAGAATGCTGAGTGTGATAGTGCTGTGTATAAATGTTGTGTGTTGGGGGGTAAATAAACAAATAAAAAATTAAGTGGGGGTAAATATATAAAAAAATAAAATAAAAACTAAGCAAAAAAAAAACTAAACCCCCCCCCTCCCTTCTTACCTTTAGCCTGGGAGGGGGGGACAGGCACGTGGTAGCTGGGAGGGGGGGCACCGGCACTCGCACACCATCCCTGGTGGTCCAGTGGTGAGTGAACTCTCTCGCGAGATCGGGGCGTTGCCATGGCAACGCTCCGGATCTCGCGAGAGAAACCCGGCGGAGCTGCAAGACAGAGCTCCGCCGGGTCCTCTCCCTCCCCAGCCGCAGGTCTATTTAAATGGGCCGGTGAGGGAGATCTTTGATCTCCCCATCGGCCCTCCATGGAAGACAGCGGGGCCGGCGCTCGGATAGTGCCGGCCCTGCATAGACCGGCAGGGGAGATCCTGTGACCTCCCCTGCCGGCCTCGGCCCCATGGCCACCGCGGCCCACCGGGCATTTGCCCGGTGTGCCCGATGGCCAGTCCGGGCCTGTTAATGTGCTACTTCCACTCCTGGTTGAGACTCACTGAGGAGACTGGCTTGGGCAGAAAGAGCAGCCTGTGACCACAGAGTGGGTAAACAACGAAGCACAGAGCCAGAAGCATGCTGCCTTATTGCCCTCCTGACAGAAGACTTGTGACCGCTGGCATAAACATTGCCTGGTTGCCTGCCTTTACCTCAACCAAAGTACAGGAGCCATCTTTTGTTATTGCGCATGTCTGCGTATGCCTATGTGTGCCTGTCTGTATCTGAGTGTGCCTGTCTGTGTGTCTACCTGTCTGTGTACCTGTGTCTCTCAGTATGCCTGCCTGCACCTGTCTGTATCCGTCAGTGCCTGTGTATGCCTGTTTTTGTATGTATGTGTCAGTGTCTGCCTGTGTGCTTGTGCATATCACTGTTTGTCTGTCTGAGCCTGACGCACGTTTTGGTGCAGTATATATGCACCTTCGTCTGACGCAAAATTGAGCCATAGTAAAGAGCCTGACGCGCGTTTCGGTGCAGTATATATGCACCTTCATCTGACGAAGGTGCATATATACTGCACCGAAATGCGCTTCAGGCTCTTTACTATGGGTCAATTTTAACTTGCACACACATGGGCACTTCACTGCACTGTGTGGTACACATTTTTGTTATGATTTAAGTTTTTCCTTTCAATTTATTTCTTCAATGCCTATTTAGTAAGTTTAACAAGGAGAGAAGCTTTCTCTTCTTTATCTGTCCTACTTTTGATTATTAGCGCTGCTGATCCTCTAGACAGTAACTTTTCTCTCTTTAGCATTTTTACTGGTGCTCAGGAATTAAGGGGAGATCTACTAACACATTATGCATTAAAAGGCCAGGACTAATTAAGCCTATATGTAAATTGCAGACTTTGGTGTTTAGCACTTCATCTCCTCACTTACATAGGCATGGGAGTTTGTTATGATTTATGATTTACATGTTTTCTTTAATGCCTATCTACTAAGTCTAACAAGGAGAGTGGCTTTCTTTACTTTATTTTACTTTATCCGTCTGTCTACTTTTGATTATCAGTGCTGCCAATCTTTTAGACAGTGACCTTTCTCCCTTTGGCACTTTTTCTGGTGCTTAGGCACTACGTGGAGATTTACTAACACCCTATGTATTAAAGGGCCAGTACTAATAAAGCCTATATGAATAGTGTAGACTTAGGTGTTTAGTAACTTTATTTCCTCACTTACTTAGGCATGGGAGAAGCCTTATAAGGCTAGTCCGGTACTTATTATTATTTGGAGTCCGTTTATTTTTGTGTTGATACTTTCTGTTACTTTAGATATTTAGTGGTCTCCATCTGGTTACATTGTTCCATACCACTGGATGTTTTGGTGCCTATGTCTTTATCTCCAGTCAGCATTATATTCAGTTTGTGAATTTTTGCTTCTTTGTTTCTGTTGCTAGTATCTAGGGTTAAGCCCTTGGGCATTGCTGGAGTGCCTTCCTGGTGCATGGGATTAGTGTGGAGATCCCATTTCTTTCTATTCTTTTCTTTTTTCCTTACAGCCATCACAATTGCTGTGTTCAGTATGAGGTGGCGGGGCCATGCACAGATCGCTGTGTTCATTCTGAGTGGGATGGCCATGCAGAGAATACTGTGTTCAGTCTGAGGGGGCAGGGCCAAGCAGAGAACGCTGTGTTTAGACAGAGGTGGTGGGGCCTGCAAGACAGTCCTGATTCAAGACCTTTGTCCTGTGTGTTTTTAATTTGTTTTCTCTGGGGGCACCTGAGAAATCCTTTAAAAGGCTTTGCACAAGTGCATCATTACAGTTGTACAGTTGTACAAAGGCCATTGCAGGATGTTTCTGGCCATATAACAGTGATCCTGGAATGTTCTGAGCATGGGCATCCTACCATGGCCGGCAAGGCAGCCTGTTTCTGGCATATCTCCAGTTATCTATCACAATAGTATGTTGCCTTATCCTGTTCCTGGAAAGTATGATTCATTCCCAGACCAACAATAATTAACTCACCATTTATTTTGCTTTCCTTCTGCAATGCCCTATATTACTTTATTATATGGTTTTAGTTTTAGATTTGTTTCCAAAAGTTTGGGATCTTATGTTATTTGGTGATTTTTTTTTTTGTATATTAATTTACTGAAATATTAATCACAGAAAAAGTGTGAAAAAATAATTGTATTTAAAATGCTAAACTAAAGGGAAACTATAATGCCAGGAAAACAAAGTTGTTTTCTTGGCACTATAGCTCTCTATAGTATCCCTATAGTGCAGAAAGGTGTTATAAACCCCTTTTGTCATTTATCTGAGTCCAGCTCTGAGGTCCCTCGGAGGTCGCTCATTCCTGCCTCCACTCCTCCCTTGTCGACATCAGCCGGTAGGGAAAACGTAATGCAAGAGAGTGCTGGGACAGTGCACCTAGAACACATTAATGAACTGAAGTTGTTTGGTTGCATATAGTGTCCCTTTAATGACTATATTATTTTTTTTCTATGAAGGCATCCTGGATACAGGCTCTATATTAGAAATATCATATATAATAAAAATAAAGCGGAACATTACAATGTAGTATCTTACTGCCAGCCCTTATTTCCAGCACTGACAAGCATACCATTAAACTGCTTTGTTGTATACTTGTGTGGTTTGTCATTCCTTTGGCAGTGATATCATATAGCATGTTACTGTACAGATTGCACTGGGATTTTCCCCGCAACTAATCATCTTCGTTGCTTGTGGCAGTGATCAGGCAGTCAGGCACTATAGTGAGTGCCTGCCAGATAACAAAAAAGACAATCACTGCAAGCACTGAGGCCAGGATGGTAAATTGCAAATAGGGACAAATCCACAACCCTAAGGGGAACCTAGAGTGAACTAATCAGTGTAACTGATACATCCCTCCTAATTAAGTCTTGATCCTCTGGCTGCACTTGAAACAAATCAAAACCATATCAAGTTTTTACAGCAGGTGCTGAATGACTACAAAGTTTAGGTCAATCAGGTGAATGCTGTGACTGAATACCTTGAAAAGTGTAAATACATGTATACATTTATGGTTATTTATATATACCATGCAAAGCTGAGCACTGTGTTTCCTGCGTTGTAGTTGGTGATCATGTAATCGCTTGACAATAAATAAAGAAAATCTTTTTTTGTTTTTTTACTGTTATTATTATTATAAGTTGGAATGGTTTTCTTGTTTTTTTGCTTTGTTTTCTTTGTCACCCAAGTAATGCACTGACATTACAAGTACATGTTTTTTGCCATAATAAGTCAATTTGTGTTAAGATTTAAATTTACACATGGGTGCTCCTGTGTTACAAGACCACATGGGACTTTAGGCCACTGAAAAATGTGATGACCCCTCTCACATCCTGGGCCACTCTTCATGCTCACTTGTGTCTATTTTTTTTTATCTCCCTTAAAGGGACATTATAGGCAACCTGACCACGTCAGCTCATTGCAATGAGTGACTTTGAGAAACTGTTTACATTGCAGGGTTAAATCTACCAGACATCCACTAGAGGTGCTTCTTTTAATCCACGCAGTTTAACTCTGTGAAATGATGCCTTTTGCAGGAAGATGTCCAGCGTCTTGAATATCCCCATAAGAAGGTAACCTTTTAACCGTTTCATAACTGGGGGTGGACGGGAAGGCAGAGGGACCCCTAAAACTATAGTGTTATTAGGGATCCCTAACACTATAGTGTTCCTTTAATCAATGTTATGTCTCCCATCTCCCTTACAATCTTTCTGTCTCTCGCTCCATTTTCTTTAACCCCATTGTGTCTCTTTCCTAATATCCTCTAACCACATTAGGTTATAGGACTTATCCCTTTCCTCAGTCCCAAAAAGTGCAGATATTTATTTTCCTTTTCATGAAAAGATAAAATCACTAGTATTCTGATCCTCATCCATGGCTTTGGTCACTCTAAATAAACTCCTTCAAATGGCACTGCCACACCGAACTTACCTTTTTTTTTCTATTGTTTCCGCTTCTCTTCCTCTCACAGAATCTGATCTTCTTCTCTTCGTTTCTGATCTAGTTTTCTTTAAAACATAAGACAAAGTAGGGACGTTTGACTTTCTTTGACCAAAGACTTGCTTAAGTTCGCTCCACAACACTCACTGGACACAGGAAATGGAGCTGGCTCCTTGTGTCAGAGAAAGTCAAGCATAGGAAAAATACATAAGACAAGGTAGTCCCAACTTTTTCTAACGTTTTAAAGAGAACTTGATCAGAAAGGAAGAAAAAAAAGAACAGATTCTAAGAGAGGAAGAGAAGAGGAAACAGTAGGAGAAAGCCAAGTTTGGTGTGACAGTGCTGCTTTAAAAACATATCTGCACTAACAGATTCCACATTGTTCTACAATATGATGTCATGTGTTAATGAGGTATGG